CTATTAAATTTTACTTAGCCGTAGATTGCAATTTTGACTTGGCCTAGGCTTCGCCAAAGCCTCTAAAAGGTTTGGATACCGGTTTGTATCGTGGCATCGTTACCCCCTCCTCCCACTACACATCCGCGGGTTCCAGAGTCACAATTTGACATTCAGAGCAAGTCATACCTAACTCAACTCAAAAACTTTTATCTAATCCCTTTGCGGAGGTTGATTAGACTTAGGCGAGATCGAAACTGCGGTATTTTCTGAATTAGCCAGCATTTTCAAAGCCAATGTAAGTTAAAATGATTTCATTTTGAGAAAAATCAGCTCTTAATTTTTAAATAACCTTCAGCGACTATTGACTAGGTCCTTTTTCAACAATTAATGAATATCTTGGAAAATACCTAAACTTTCTATATTATTTCCTCTACATTTTACAAAAATTTATATTTCAGATTTATCTCATTCCAACGCCTTTTTTGCCTATGATATAAATAACTTATTATTTTAATGCTCTTTTTTATGATTTTCAAAAAATTCCCTGTGAACTTTTCTTGTTATAATTCAGGTTTGAAAAGTTCTACTGGTTTATTTCAACAGACAATTATTTAGTTGTAGCCGGAAGAGATGCTCAACAGAATGAATTGCTGGCTAAGCGCTATTTCGTCCCAGGTGATATTTACGTTCATGCCGATCTCCATGGTGCTAGCACTGTCATCGTTAAGGCAAGGCCATTACAACCTGCTGATTTCGGATTTATGCCTCTACAAGGTTAGTTATTTTTGTAAATTTGCGCTTTTATTTCTTAAATCGGAAGATTATTACCATTCACAGATATTTTACCGATGAACTTTTTCTTAAACTTTACTTTGATGCTTTTTAAGCTTAAGACTCAAAATGCACTCTAGCCATAAAAACTTACATCACCTTTATCACCTTAAACAAAATAGGCTTAATAACTCTCATATAATTACCTTACCGGTAGTCTCGAAACGCTGCTCGTAAACGAAAAATAAGTATGTAGTCGATAGTCATAGAAAATATAAACTGGCTGCATCGACAATCTTACCAAAAAATGTGATATTGGAAAATGTTTGGCCTTCGTTGAAATTCACATTTGACCTCTGACCCAAGGATCTCGTGGCAATATGGCGTAGTGGTTGACTTTCGAGATTACACTCTGCGCTGTCATGGTTTGACTTCCGCTGAGGGTGCTGATAATCCTTATGCGAGGTTGAAACTGCAGTTCACTGTAGAAAACTATTGGAGCTAGTTGGCTGACAGTAAATTTTATAAGAAACGTGGCCCATGTAGCAAAGGCTTGACGATGAGACTGACTCAGAGACTTGAGCCCGGAATTAGTAATCCAGACGCAGTAGAGGGCGAATAACGCCTCGAGTAGCACAAATGGGGTGGTAGGGGTCGAGTGAAATACGTGAACCAGCGA